CTAGACTGATTCTCTTACCTACAATCCCCAAAGTCTATAAATTGCAACGTCTTATCTTAAGTGGGGTCAGGGAACCAGACTACAAGAACATGAGCTGTTTTTCTTGGATTTTCCAGCATCTCCGAACTCAAAACATGAAACAAGCTAGATTAACAATATTTTCTATAGCACACTAATCCTCCAAATCCATTTACAAATGTATTTCTGAAAATTGCGGCAAAAGCAAATTCCCTTTAAAAACTGAAGTCACAGCTTCAATTTTTTTTTGGCCAATTCAGGTGTGTCCTACAGGTACATGTACACTCACAAGGGCTTAGTGCTTTCCATAAAGAAAACAATTGATGTTTCAGCAGTACTGGATTTTAATTATCTAATGGACTTACTTGGGGAAAGCTATCAAAAATTGAAATGAAAAAGTATGGATGTCGACAAGTTTATTTTTTTCCTGATTGTGTCAGGCCATCCGTATACATGTACATACTCTGTCATGTGTTTGCATACTGTACCGGTACATACAATGCATCTCTTTCACGCATTGATCGATGTTTGTCAGATTTTTTGCATGAACCTGAATTCCTGCCTTTTGTGTAATCGCTTGACCCAATTTCCACTGAATAAACCCAATTCACGCTGGCATTTGAGCAATTGTAAATATTAACTCCTCCACAACCACGACCGTCACATTAATGTCAACAACAATTATCATACAGCGCTATAACATGGGCATGTACATGTCCATGAATGCACATGTAAATTGTACATGAACATGTACTGAACATAATTTGTTTTATACATGTACCAACATCATGCTGTACATGGAAAGTGCAACTGAGCACATGTAAAAAAAAAAAAAAAAAAAACACCTGTGCATGTACATGTACATATACATGTACTTGTATGTTGACTATGAGACTATGCACATGCTGTACAGATGCATGTAACATACACTGGTACATGTACATGTACATGTACACAATGTACATGTACGCTCTTGTGAATGCACATTTTAAGAAAAGGTTTTTTTTTTAAACATAAATTTACCCTCCTATGCAAACATACATTCTGTGCCAAGTACAGTCAATTCAGTCAAAATCAAACAAGTGACTGTTTTCAACAGTTAAACATTCCCAGCCTACATAAAGCAGAATTGACTGGCTGGGACTGATCCTACAGCCATGCTGTGACTTCTGGTGAGTGATAAACCAGCTGTGATCACAACTTGCCTGCTTTGTCTGTTGACCCAGTTTGATTAGTCACAGTGCTTGCTTGACATTATGATCTGACTGCTGGTGACTAGCCTTTGTTAAAAGTATACATGGGGAAGTGGAAGTAAATATTGACTGTCTGTGACTGTTTAAATAGCAGGAGGGCCAGCTAGACTGCATATTATTTATCATTGTAGAATGCTCAGATGGTTAAATCTTAGCTGTTTCACTAAATTTCTCATGTACAATGTACTACACTTCGACTATTTTGAGCGCACTCTCAGAATTTGATAAATGTACATGTATTGTATGTCATCCAGTCTTCATGTTGCTCCATGATCTTGGGGAGTTCAAGCTGTGATGGGTTAGTGTCTCGTTGAAGTTGGTCTAGTCACCAACAGCCGCCTCCCCTGCCACGTTGGCAAGGCAAAGCCTCGTGGGAAGTGGGAAACAAAACTTGAGTGTGAGAGCTTCACAATGTTCATTATGTTAAAAACACAGTGACATATTGTTAGCATTACATTGTACAAACCCCTAGGTATACCGTACATTGTAGGTTGAAATCGTCTTGAAACACTTGAGTGTTAAAGGGAATATACATCATTTGCTTTTGCTGTAATTTTCAGAAATGGAGTATTTGAGGGGTTAGTATAATATATCAAATATTGTTAACCTGACATGTTTGAAGTTTTATGTTCGAAAATGCTGGAAAAACCAAGAAAAACAAAATTGTTCAAGTAGTCTGGTTCCCTGACTCCACTAAAGATGAAATGGATCAATTTATAGTTGCTAGAAAATTGTAAGGTAAGGGAACCAGTCTAGCTGGCCTGCACCCGTTCATGAACATGTAACCAATACCAAACAAAATTTGGACTGAAAAAGGTAAATTTGGAGCAGTAGTTGACATATAGTTAGGTTTTTCCAACGGTGGTCGGCCGACCACCGTTGGAAATATATACAAAAATACCATTTTCTTGAAAATGACTTCACACCAGGTGCCATAATTTTACAGGATGTTTTAGACTGTCATTTACCAACATCCTAGTAAGGTATTTCTTAAAAACTTGGTAGTTTTATTTTTCAATGTTTGCAAATGTTGTATACAGGTATATATTGCCTTTAAGGATAGAGTTTCATAATGTTCAGTACAAACACAATGTATGTCAGAAGAGAGATTTGTCCGGATATTTCCTGAATTAAATTTCAAGATTTTTTGGTCACAATTTTTTTTTTTTCCTGTTTGTCAGGATTTTCGCTGCTTTGAGGGTTTTTTATGGTTACAATTTTTTTCCTGTTTTCAGGATTTTGGCCAGGGTTAAAATTCCTGATTTGGGGCTTTTTTGAAGAACCCTTTTGAAATCTTGAGTGTTTTACTGTAATGGTGTTTTTACATACCGGTAACCTGCTAAAGGATTGGAACAATGAACTGCCATCCACAAAAAAAGTTACTGTCAACAAAAAGTGGCAATAAAGCGCAGCGACTTTACAGTTCAAATGACATCACTGTCATGTGTCTGCATATATTTATATATATGCGCAGTTTTTATCTTTCGAATATATAGCAAAAAGCTATTTTTGTTTGATGATTGAATATTCGAATATTCGGTATATTCAGGACAACCCTACGAACTTCAGCAATGCTCTGTACACACAAAACTTATTGACACAGTACGTACCATGAAGCCTACCGTATGCCACTAATGTGCGACATGAATATGTTTATGGCTAAGCGAGATCATCGGGCAATACATGCACATCATGTCAGTGCACATAATCACTCAATGTGCGATCAGACTACACTACATGTACATTGTATCACCCATGAATGTCCTACTCCTACTCATAAATTCTGCCCAGTACATCAGTTAGGATGCATCATAGCATGTTATGCATTAAAGGGAATATACATCATTTGCTTTTGCTGTAATTTTCAGAAATGGATGGAATTGGGGGGTTGGAAATATAAAGCAAATATAGTTACACTGACTTTTTGGAGGTTTTGGGTTCGAAAATGCTATAAAAACCAAGAAAAACGATCATTTTCCTGTAGTCTGGTTCCCTGACTCCATAAAAGAAGAAACAGAGCAGTTAACATACATTAGGGAATTGTAAGGTCAGGGAACCAGTCTAGCTGGCTCGTACCCGTTCATAGGTTTGTAATCGATTGCAAACAAGTGCAATGGTCAATTGGGGCCAGTATTTGAAAAAAAGCCAGTTGTTTCCAACGCTGATCGGCCGATCAGCGTTGGAAATTGATACAAAAATACCACTTTTCTTGAAAATGACAGTATACCAGGTGCCATAATTTTACAGGATGCTTTAGACTGTCATTTACCAACATCCTATTAAGGTATTTCGCAAAAACTTGGTAGTTTTATTTTTCGATGTTTGCAAATGTTGTATATTCCCTTTAACATGGAATTGATTCAACTCTACATGTTGCTACACACTGTACATGTAGTTTGTACAGTGGTACCAGCATGCAGAGAAAGATGCAGGCTACTGATTTTAACCTTTCCAAATTAGACATGTAAACCATTGACTTTTATAGGCTTCTTGTCGTAAAGTGAAGTGTTTATTTTCCTACTGTGCCATACATGATAGATGGCAGAACCTTGTTATCTAATGGTACTAACAAACAATGTACGTACATTTGTACACAGTTTTCATACGCGCTATTATTGTATTAACACGTATAAAAGACAACAAAAAAATTACTCAACAAGTTTCATGGCAGAAACTCGGCAGGCATTGTACATGTTTGACGGTAAAATGTAGATCATGGCATTTACATTGAACATGTAAGTTCGTGTAGTACTTGTTTTATAGAATACAGGGCGAGTCAAAAAAAGCGAAACCCAAATGTCGGGACTATTGTTTTAGTGAAGTTCTGCATGTAGCACTTTCAAAATCTACAACAATCATTGAAATCACTCATATACTTTCCAAGTTACGGAATTTTAAACACAACCACCATTTTATTAGTTCTGTCCACGCATCACAAAAAAGGTTTGCGTTCTTTCAGCAAAACAATTCACAAAAACAATTCACACACATCCCTATGTGATTTGTTTTCATTTTGCTGAAAGAACACTTACCTTCGTGTGATCCGTGATCACACAAACTTTAAAACGGTGGTTGTGTTTAAAAGTCCGTAACTTGAAAAGTACATCAGTGATTTGAATGATTCTGGTACTAAAAGAAAGCTGATGAATTGGGCTTTCATATCCTAGATTTTGAAAGTGCTTACAGAACTTCACGAAAACAATGGTCCCGACATTTGTGTTTCGCTTTTTTTGACTCACCCTGTATACACTGTACACATATGTAACAGCTCTATGATGTACAAAATGTAAGCAAGTGCTTCAAAATTATTGTTCCTTGTTATTCATGGCATTGTTAAACATGGTGTACATGTACATGCAACCCTCATATGATGTTACATTGTAACTGTACATTACTTTTTTTATAACTTGCTACCATGTTGTAACATGTAATTCACATTTGGTATGCTAACTATTGCCAAACACAATGTGGTTTTTGTTATGAAACCAAATGTCTTTTCCCTGTCCTTTTCCTTTTTTTGAAAATTTAATCCCCGACACAACAAAAGAAACACGCTGCAATCGGCGAATTTTAACACATCTTCACCAGTGTTATTCACAATGACTGTGAAACTGGTCCACCAACATATCAGATTTCATGACGTTTCAGTTCCTTGTTCCTGTTCACTGCGAAGCCCATAACTGATTCCTTGAATTTTGTCTACTTCTTTTCCTTTTTTTGTTTCCCCAGAAATAAAGCTATTGCAGATTACCTGCGATCCAATGGCTATGAGAATGCCCTGCATGAGTTTCAGAAGGAGGCAGATATGGTAGGTGCTGTAATAGGTTTGGATTCTATTTCAATAAACCATTGCTATGATGTCACACTATTGTTAAAAGTGTGGATTCGGATCTACGAATCTCTTACACTGGTCACAAAGTGTGGATTCGGAACTACGAATCTTTAGTAAAGTGTGGATTCGGAACGACAAATCTTTAGTAAAGTGTGGATTCGGAATTACGAATCCACACTTTGAACACGTCGGACAATTATTTTTCTCCATAATGAGCATGAATAGGACCGTCTGCGTGAAAATTTGCTTTCCGAAAATTACCAATGCATTTTCACTGTCGGATTCTCCGCCGTCACTGCAAAATTTTAGTCAGAAAGAAATCGTCGTCTGAACTATCCATTTTAAAATGACTTGGTTGTACGGGTGTGGCAATACACATGCTACATGTACATGTAAACACGCCAGGACAAAATGTTGCAACCTGACGCCACTTCTGAGTCATTTCAAGTATTTCCTAACACAATTGGAAACATTTCTCAGTCCCAGATTCATGTCTTATCGTCATTTTTGCAACGAATGACCTTCATCGAGATGATATATGAAGAAAAAAGTGGCGTCAGGTTGCAACATTCTTTCCAATACTTCTGTTGACGCAATGGTTTAAGTTGGAGAATACACTCGCAAGTGTGGATTCTTAATTTACGATTTACGAATCCACACTTTCTCGTGTATTCTCCTTAACATAAAATGGTATTATAGACCGTTACCATGTTGTGGCCATCTTGATTTTTTTCCCATTCAAATCAACGTAACCAAAGCAAGGCTGGAAGGAAAAATAGTCTGGTTCCTTTTTGCACAAAAAACCTCATCATTCAGTACTGTTATTGGATACTGGGAACATGACTGAAGTGGTGGCAGCATGATAAAGGTCTAAAGTACAGTCAGTATGTTTTTGATACCTGGTAATACCGAATGATGTTGTCCAAGTACCAGTGACATTTCTTCAGCAGATTTCCCCTCTTAAATGTGTGCAAAGGTCCTTTAAAGCTACCGAAAATTAACTGGCGTAATTATTGATAAAAAACATGCTTGGTTGAAAGATAGTAAGTGGACTAAACTCCCTGTGAAATTATTCTTTCTGGGAAGCTGTCATTTTGAAGTAATCAACGAAAGAAGGCCTTTCCAACGGTGCGTCTTAAGACGCACCGTAGGAAAATTAAATTAGTAGTTCGTTTTGTTATTCGGCGAAGCGCGCACAAGTATTGGCACGATGCACACGCACGCGCGGTTGCTATAATCGTCGGATCAGTGCGCGACGTCGCGTATAGCTGCAATTCAAAACAATTCCAACATGATTCAGTAAATTTTGATATGAAATTGAGATCCTAGAAAGCTGTTTTTCTCGGAATATACAGCTGAAGCTTAGCTGAAACTTCATCAGGTTAGTTGTTCAGTATCCTTCATTAGATTTTGAACACTTTTGTTGCTTCAAACGAACAAAATGCACAAATTACAAATGATGGACTACATGTACATCTTTAATTAAATCAAACCTTTCCCAAATGACCTAATAGTCTGCCAAAAAAAGCATTTGTTAATTTATTTATTTAGTGCATGCAACAGCGGAGCACCGCCAATTACAGGAATGGAATAAAAAATTTTTTTTAATGTATGATTATAACGACATACCGTGATATTATTGTGACTGTATATCGAGGACTCTCAAAATCCAGTACCGCACAAGCCTAGATGCTGTAACTTGGGGTTTCCTTGACGTCATCAGTTATTGCCTTTTTTGAGTAAAGACCTACCGGTACATGTAAACAACAAATGAGAACTATCCAATATTTGTTTTCCAATTCAGTTCCGTTTATTTAATATTTTGGTAATTTTAACCCCAGCACTGCCCATGGCCAAATTTATTAGTCAGTTGATTAAATTGTTATCTACGACGTTCACTATTGACATCGGTTATGTTTAATTTCTACCAAAGTGACCTTTATGCATGGCAACAAATCACAAACAATAAAAGATGTGGTTGTTTACACGTTCCGGTATGTCCATACCTTTCACAGTGATGGAGGTCTTCTAGTACATGTATATTGCAATTGCCTGATATACACTTTTCCCTTTATGCCTCAAATTTCAGGCAAAAAGTCGGAGTCCACTTACATCCCTGCTTTCAGTCATTGTATGACTTCACATTATTTCGCTTGTAAACAGAATCATATCATACGTTTTGGTATCTAAATTTGAAGACACTTTCACATCTTTATTTGATTTTTTTTTTTTTTAAAGGAACCACAAAGGGAAACTGACCAGACGAATTATAACAATTTATTGAAAAGTTGAACAATGAAATTGACTGGAGCAGGGTTTGAACCAACGGAGCTATCCAGCCCTATGTTGGCGGTTTCCCAATTCGTCAATGTCTTTGTCCAAGGGGCGCTAGTCAGAAGCCATAGACCTGTATATGCCATGCAGCCAGAAATCACGCCCAAAGTCACGATGCAGACATGGGAAATACATGTAACAAACGCGGTTCACTCGGAGAAGATACGGCTTTTTAACTACAAATTTTCAAATGAACCACTGAGGAGAACTGACTACGTGAATTATGACAATTTATTAAAAAGTTGAACAAAGAAATTTAGTGGAGCTCGGCTTATTTTTTCTGAGTCCCTTTCGGATTGCCATAAGGAAGATGCCCTTAACCCTAACAGAACTCAACCCATCAAACCCCAACAGCATGTATTGTTGGAATCTGTCAGGATGGGTACAGTACCCCTAAACTGACAGTCTTTTACATTGGGTTGGCACATTCAGAAATATGTGTGTGCAGTTTCCCATATGGTGTTGGAATTTGCCAGGATGGGTATTGTTCCTAGTAAATCATGCTAGGGAGTTAGGGTTAAAGAATGGGCTAGAAATTTCAGTGCATGGTATGAGAATTTTATGGTAAAGTTACAACACATTTCATTACTAGTTTCTTTGTTTTTCAATTTTTTCCTCCCTCCCAGCCTGGCGACGTGGAGAGAAAGTACAACGGCCTCCTGGAGAAGAAATGGACGTCGGTCATCCGGCTACAGAAGAAGGTCATGGACCTAGAATGCAAACTGAACGAGACGGAGAAGGAGTATACCATGGGCGGACCGACCAATCAGAAACGCTCGCCGACGGAGTGGATACCGAGGCCGCCCGAGCGCTACTCGCTGACCGGCCACCGCTCCACCATCACCAGGGTCCTATTCCACCCAGTCTTCAGCGTCATGGCAACCTCCTCTGAGGATGCCACGATAAAGGTCAGGGGTCAAATTTTGTGGAACTGCTAAGCAATTTCCTAAACACAGGTTATTATTTGCTTGGCAAAAAAATAAATGTTGAGCAGGTTTACCTTAACTGGGGTCAGGGGCCTCTCTCCTCAAAGAGGAAATGAACCCTAACCCCCAACTTAGTTTTACTAAGTAGAAGACCATGTCCGTCAAAATCTATCACTCACTCTGTTTCAAATAATGCTTCAGGACCGAATCCAAAATCTACAACTGGTGCTGGTGGATTTTGATGGACTTGGCACATGGCTTATCTGCCAAAATCCCCCAAAATGGTTAAGACGAAACAGAGCAATTTATAGACTTTTATTCCCTTTATAGGGAATTGTAAGATCAGAGAATCAGTCTAGCAGGCTTGTAGTCTTCACAGGTGTGTAATCAATTGCAAACTAAATGCAGACGAACTAAATATGAAAAATTAGTCGGCCGACCAGCGTTGGAAAAATACAGTTTTTCTTGAAAATGTGAGCACACCAGGAGCCATGATTTCACAGGATGCTTGAGACTGTCATTCCCTGAAATTCCAGTAGGATATTTCGTGATAATTTGATCATTTCGTTTTTTGATGTTTGCAAATGTTGTGTCTTCCCTTTAAGTAATTTTCTTAAACCAAAAGATATTTGCTACGTGTAAGTAAAGAACAGGATGCTTAGTTAGGGTCAGAGGTCAAATCTCATAGAACCGCTTAGTTTTTTTTTTTTGTGCACAGAAAATGTTTGATTTGCAAAAAGCTGACACCTACATGTAGATAAAGGTCGGAGATTAATCGCATGGAGAACCTAAACATTGAGTTAAAAAAACCACTCTGATTATCTGGCATTTCTTTCTCACTTTTCTATTGTTGACAAAGTTTTGTGCTTGTCTGTTTTTGAAGGTTTGGGACTACGAGACGGGAGATTTTGAACGCACACTGAAAGGTCACACGGATATCGTGCAGGATATATGCTTTGACCACACAGGCAAGATATTAGGTGAGTCCGTATTTCTATCTTTTTGAATTTGCAGTTGAATATTTAAATAAAATGTCTTCGTCAAACAACTAAACTTTCCAAAACAAAAACACTTTAAACCCTTTAAACTGTAGTGATACGTTTTGAAAATGCGGATGAGCTCATTAAACCCGGACCAGACGCAACACAGTGTGTCAGGTGTGAAAGTCTGTGGAACCTAGCTGCATTGAGCTATCAACACCAGTGCATAAACGGCCAATTCTGAGACTATGAGAGCTAGTTGAACGGCATTGAATAACACCACAGTTGTAACAGACTCTGAGGCAGTTTGGCCTTGAGATTTTGACCTGATGGATGTTGTTACACTTGGTAAAACAAGTAAAACAAGTGTTGCATGTTGTTAAGATTAGCAGGGTTTCTGGCAAGTATACCCTAGGGGGTCAGGGTTATACTTTCAGGATCTTAACCCTAACCCCTAGGTCCTTTCAGTTAGGAACCATCCTCAATCCTCCAAAATCCTCCAAAATTTTGCACTTGTGTTCAAATGAAGGATGCCCACTGCCTCAATCCTTCAAAATCCTCTAACAGCCCTGCCTCTCAAAATGCATTCAGCCTCAATCGTCCAGAATTCTACTCTTCTTTAAACACCATTCATCCTCAATCCTCCAAAATCAACCGATACTGAATGTCCATGTGCGCTCAATCCTCCACAATCCTCCAAAATTGTATGCATGTTGCATTCATCCTCAATCCTCCAAAATCCTCCAAAACGGCCCAGAGGACTTCGGAGGATTGGGGAAGGTTAGGGTTTTAATTGATTAAAGAGGTTGTGGAATGCTCGAAGACATTTCCGTCATTTTTCGGGTATATGTAGCCTAAGGTGTGATGAAATAAAAACAACTATTGTTTCTGTCATGAAATGAGTACAAAAGGTACTTTTGAGAGATGTTTCTCAGGTCCTGTTTCGACCCGAACGTGCAATTTGTGTAAAAGTCGTCGTTGGGGGCAGCAAACAAAACATAGTAAATCGTGACGTAATAAACAGGACTCCCTATGCAGCGTAGTATAAACGAGTCCTGTTTATTACGTCACGATTTTTCTGATTTTACGAAGAACCCGACGACTGTTGATTTCAATTATGCCCTCGACAGCAAATTACTCGATGAATTTCAATTTTATAAACATATAAACCCACATTACAAAAGAATGGGAGTTTGTCATTATGATCTATATGGGTCTACTCTACAATAAAAAAATATAAAAAACAAAACGACTTTCAGCATTCCACAACCTCTTTAATTGATGCACGTATTTTTGTCAAGGGTGTAATGTGATCTTGGACCTTGGTAAAAGTACTTTGAAAAATGTTCCGCCACCACTGATTGCCTCTTTTAGTCTATATGCTCCAGAGTCCACGACTCCAGACTTTGGAGTGTTTTGTCATGGAAACTAACCGGCTAGCCACTTCACTGAGAGTACAGTAGATCTAAGTACTTCCAAGCTGACATCCTTTTTGAAGTCTGTTTTCTCCCTTAACCCATCTCTCTCCCTTTCTCTCAGCCTCATGCTCGGCCGACATGACGGTCAAACTCTGGGATTTCCAGGCCTTTGAGTGCATCAAGACGATGCATGGCCACGACCACAACATCTCCTCCGTTAGCTTCATGCCCACCGGCGACTTTGTGGTGTCTTGCTCCCGGGACAAGACCATCAAGATGTGGGAGGTGGCTACAGGGTGAGCATAGAATTCAGACTGGCCAGTTTCGATTGGCCTCCTTTGAACAAAATTATAATTGGCCATTTCAAGTCCAGCTCTTACAAATAATAATAATAGCAGGCATTTATATGGCGCTTTTACGCCGCAACAGGATATCAAAGCGCTTTTACAATTATTATTTTTCCTGTTTCAACGGGCAAACACTCCTGAAACCTCAGCTCCCTGGGGAGTATACAGCTCGATGCTTCCTGTTAGGCGCAAGGAAACTAAATCAACCACAGCAACCATCTCTGCCCTCACAGGTACCCATTTACTCCTGGGTGGAGAAAAGCAATGAGTGACAAAGTGTCCTGCACATGCACCATGACCCCAGGCTGGACTCGAACCCACAACCTGCAGCTTTACCGGCAGACCACAAATTCTCTCATTTTTGATGAAAACAGCAACAATATGCCTTTTTTCCCCTTGTGTATTAACCCTCCTTTTGTTTGATCAGTCACAGACAGTCAAACATTCAATCCTGTTCCCCTGCCATGCCTTTTATGCAGGCTAGTCACCAACAGTCAGATCATATTTCTTGTAGACACTGTGACAGTCAATTTCAGTCAACAGACAAAAGCAGGTGACTGGTAGGCACAGCTGGCTTACCAATCACCTACAGTCAAAGCATAGCTATATCAGGTTTCATAACAATCACAGCCAGTCAATCCTGCTTTATGAAAGCAGGGAGCACTCAACTGTTAAAAAACAGTCACTTGATTTATTTTGACTGCTGGGCTGACCTTGTTGAAATTGCCAGCCAGAGAGGGAACGTTAAGTACTGTCCAGAGAAAACTTATCATCATTCTAAAAGCAAGAGGGGCTGACCTACCGGTACATGTATCTGTCCCAGCTGTTTTTCTTAATAGCAAAATCATAACATGACAAATTAAAAGAAAGTTAACACGATACTTGGGTTTCATGTTGTATTTAGAACCTTACATTTTTATACCCCAAATTCTGGTCTTCACAGACAATCGTATTTGAAAAAAGCTGTGCCCAAAGTTTAATGGCTTGTAAATACAGTGAAAATTTCATTCAGCACTGTACATGTAGAAAGTATTACCAAAATCCAATATTGATATTTAATCTTTATTGGTGTTGTTCCTTTATTGGTGTTGTTGGCCTTATCTTGAATTTTCTTTTTCTTTCTGCCTTCCTCAGCTACTGTGTGAAGACTTTTGTTGGTCACAGGGAGTGGGTGAGAATGGTCAAAGTGAACTACGATGGCTCCCTGTTGGCTAGTGCTTCCAATGACCAGGTAAATCATAGCCTACCGCCACCGGTAGTCTACAATGGGTAAACCCTTTGCAAAGTGAATTCGGTGACAGCCATTTTCTGAGGTGGCACTACGGTGGCACCAGGCTCGTGCGAGTTGCACTCAGGTAATACGCACTCACCCTGGGCTCCTTCGACCAATAGGTCTCGTTCAAATTACGTCATTTTCTACAGACCAGCCACTTGCATCAGCATTTTGAGCGTCAACTTGCATAACGCGGATCAGCTGTATCGTATTTAGAACACATTTCAAGCAACAAGCGCGCGTGTTTGGAGCATTTTCAAAGCTGCGCAATGCGTGGTTGATTGCGTAAAATACGCAGTTGCCGTTCTCCTACAGAGATGGCCGTCATTGAGCGAGCCCTGCAGGGTTAACATTGTGTGCGCGCCTCATATTTAAGAACGCATGCAGTTTGTGCTCAAGCACAGCAAATCCGCAAAAATGGCTCCTACTTTTGTTCGCCAGATTATACTATAGGCTGACAGATAATTTTTCAAAGTGCAAGCATGGCTTTTTCAACACAGAATAATTGTCTTCACCATTTACGGTTCTGGCTTCTCGGCACATCTGCTTTTGTATTTTGCGCCTGGTTTTCTTTTAATTAGAAGTGCATACACGGTAAGGGCAAAGATGGATTTTTCAGTGACAAATTTCAAAAAAATTCCCTTTTATGGATTTGACTATGTCTCTTTGATGTTACCCCATTAGATTTGTAATTTGTTGAGCACCCTTCCTAATGTAACAGATTGCAAAAGAAATTTTACAGCCTTTGATTCCAACAGATTGCATTAGATAAAACAAAAGGCCTTGTGTTCACTACTCAGATCGACAAAATTCCAAGATAAATTAGCTGATATTTGAAGGGTAAGTGCATTGACTCCTGGGATATTTTTGTTTCTTTTATACAGACTGTGCGAGTCTGGGTGGTGGCCACCAAGGAATGCAAGTTGGAGCTGAGGGAGCATGACCACGTGGTAGAATGCGTCAGCTGGGCTCCTGAGTGCGCTCATCCCACCATCAACGAAGCCATTGGTGCAGAGGTAAAGCTCAAATCAAACTTGGGGTCGGGGGAGGGGGGGATGTAGAGGTTCCCCAATCGTGGCTCTGTCTTCGGCTTTGGTTTCAGGAGATCATAGGTTTTCTGAAAATACTCACTGGGGCCATGCATCGGAACCGAGAACCCGACTGTTGATGTCAGGAACTGGTTCCAGATTATGGAATCGAGTACCAGTAACCAACTTTAAATATTGCTTAGTTACTTCTCAGACAATTAAAAAGAAAGGTTTTGAATGTCATTCGTCACTTCAACCCCACTTACCTCTCTCCAGCTAGGAGTATAAATGGGTACCGGCATTAGCTGGGGAGTAACCTGCGATGGACTAGCATCCCATCCAGGGGGAGTAGAAATATTCTCAGTCGTTTCATGCAACTGAAACCAGAAATATACGCCGGCCTGATGGGCTACATTGGCTCGTGACAGACTTCACTACTATTATACACTTGTATCTTGCTGTATTGACACACCGATGTACATGAAGTAGGATAATCCTACGGAACTTTATGAACAATCTGAACAACAACTTCCAAGATTCCTAAGTGTGGGGCTCTGCAAGTGCTGACTGAAAAATTGAGAATTTCCCCGACACTGAAAAAAATAAATAATGCAGCACTTTAGAAAACTATTTACCACACTGAAAATGAGCAGTGGCATTCTTATCTACCCCTTAACGCCGGTATTGTTCGACCACGGACAGCTGCACTATGAGTGGAGTGTGTACGTGCAGGCATTTGGCCACTGTCTATGAATGAATGTGGCTCTGCAGCAGGAATAAGGCTATAGCAGTCCCCCAGCTTATCAAGTTTTATCGAGCTGCCTGTATAGTCATAACCTGGCGTCAAAGGGTTAAATGCAAAGCACATTTTACGATGTTTGGCACATAGAGAATCATTGTAAACCCCCCCCCCCCCCCCCCCATCCCTAAAGAAAAGTTTCCCAATATTTAACTTTAAAGCTACCATTTGGAACTGGAGTGAAGATCTTAGGTTTTTCCATTCAGTTTGGACATTCGAGGCTTTAATATAGCTGGAGGCTGTGAAAAATTGTTCATATATAATGTACAATTTATATTTTTAAAATCTTCTTCAGTTTCGAATACATTCAATAGCATGTTTTCTTCTTTTAACCCTTTGATTTCTTGAAATAAGTAACTAGTTTGTGGTGAATATCTTCAAAATTTAACACTCGCTTCCTCTTCCTAAAGCTAACCGTGTCTAACAATATTGACGGCAAGCAGGTAATTGTAATAACAAGGAAACAAATTTGCATGAAAAACGATAACTTTGCATGATTGTTTACGTTTGCAGTAGCACAGTGTAACTGGTGTAAGGTTCCCTCCTCACAACATTTCTTTGTTGGTAGTTATGACTAGTCTTCCGGGCACTCTACTCTTTTGAAGGCATCTATTGGTCACATCTGTTTTGCTATCACCATATTTTGCCAACCATCATTAGGGCCGTGCTTCAGAACCAGGTTCCCAACGGTTGGTGTCAAGAATCGGTTCCAGATTATGGGATCGGGTACCCGTAACCAACTTTACAAATTGCTTTGTAACTTCTCAGACAATGAAAAAGAAACATTTTGCATGTCATTTGTGGGGAACTTTTCCAAATGAAAACCAGGGGTTTAGGGGTGCTGTACCCATCCTGACAGATTCCAACAAAACATGCCGTTTGGGTTTGATGGGTTGAGTTCTGTTAGGGTTAATAATTGCACTACACCAATGGTATCAGTACACCAGCATGCTATGTGCATGTGCAACACCCCTTTCCTTGTATTTCGTTTTATTTTTAAGTTAATTTAATTGATTTTTTTTTCTTTATTGATTTGTATAAACTGTCTGAAACCGAGGTTCTCCATTCACAGTGGCATTTGACCCATTTCACTTAACATTTTCTCTTGGCCTCAGGTTTTTTTAATGACCTCTTATACATCTGGGGAGTCGGGTTGACGTAGCGGTACTTTCAGGCCTTCCACCGCTGTGACCCGGGTTCGATCCCTGCCTGGGCCAATATGTGGATTGGGTTTTCAGTCCCTGCCGGTACTTGATTCCGTGGGTTTCCCCAGAATATTCTTCTGGGGTTTTTCTACCACATCTAAAACAGTCCTTTCTTCACATTGTCTTCTCTTTACTGGCCCCATGGGAGAGCAGTGGATTCCACTGAATGGGCTACCCAGTTCAGATAATTCAATAACCATTGCCAATATAATTTACACTAAAAGTTACTTAACTGTTAATTTGTATCTGGCAGACTAAGAAGAATCAACGCTCGGGTCCATTCCTGGTGTCGGGATCACGAGACAAGAGCATCAAAATCTGGGATGTCAGTGCTAGTGTGTGCATCATTACCCTGGTACGTAGACATTCTAGAACTCTCATCTTATCCCAGGTATCTTTGGAAACCTTTGGGTTTGCCAATGGAAAAAGTGTACGAAGCCACAAAGCTAATTCCTTACACCAGCATATAGGCCTATGTAAATGTAAAGTATTAAAGATATAGTCCATCATTTGTAATTTGTGCATTTTGTTCGTTTGAAGCAACAAAAGTGCTCAAGGTCTAAAGAAGGATACTGAACAACTAACCTGATAAAGTTTCAGCTCAGCTTCAGCTGTATATTCCGAGAAAAACAGCATTCTAGGATCTCAATTTCAAATCAAATTTGCTGAACCATGTTTTGAATTGGGCCTGAATTCAGCATCCGAGACACGTTCCCACTGAGCCGATTGCAGCTACGCGATGTTGCGCACTGATCCGACGAATTATAGCAACTGCGTGTGCGTCGTGCCAATACTTGCGCGCACTTCGCTGAATAACAAAACGAACTACTAATTTAAACTTCCTACGGTGCATCTTATGAAGCACCGTTGGAAAGGCCTTCTTTCGATGATTACTTCAAAATGACAGCTTGCCAGATTGAATAATTTCACAGGGAGTTTAGTCCACTTACTATCTTTCAACCAAGTATGTTTTTCAACAATAGTTACGCCAGTTACTTTTCGGATGGCTGCAAATGATGGACTATAGCTTTAACCCTAACCTTCCCAAATCCTCCAAAATCTACTATGTCACACAAATGGAGCATTTTGAAAAGATTGAGGCTATATGGCAAAAGATCGGTTGATTTTGGAGGCTGTTCCTTGTGTTGTTCATGATTAGCCATGCATAAATTAAGGCCGAGAAATCATCCGCACCTCAAGAATCATGCCTCAACATACCCAACAGTGATTGTTGGAGGATTTTGCAGGATTGAGACAATGGTCGCCCCTCCACTGAGCCAAGTCCAGAAATAACGGAGGATTTTTGAGGATTGAGGCTGTATGAAATTTGTACATGGAGGCAGTTGGAGGATTTTGCAGGATTGAGTGTGTATCCTAGCAAAAAGGCCTAGGGAATTAGGTTTCAAGACTTAAATAACAGCGACTGGGCTCAACCTTCAAATCCAAAAAAATGTCCTTCAACATTTCGCGATGGATTTTGATGGACCTTGGAGGGTTAGGGCTAATCCCTCAAACATCCAACAATAACCACTCAAACCAATGGTAAAGAGGCCTAGGGAGTTAGGTTGCAAGACTGTTCAATAACAGCGACCAAGCTCAGCCTTCAAATCCTACAAAATGTCCTTCAACATTTCGCGATGGATTTTGATGGACCTTGGAGGGTTAGGGCTAATCCCTCAATTATCCAACAATAACCACTCAAACCAATGGTAAAAAGGCCTAGGGAGTTAGGTTTCAAGACTGTTAAATAACAGCGACCAGGCTCAACCTTCAAATCCTACAAAAATGTCCTTTAACATTTCATGATGGATTTTGATGGACCTTGGAGGGTTAGGGTTAATCCCCCCAGCATCCAACAATAACCACTCAAACCAATGACACCTTCGGTTTTGAAAAAAAAGAAATCGAGATCAGGTTGTAGTAAAGTAATAGTAGCTTTTCTTATAAACACTGGCATTTGAGACTAAACAACTCTGTGCAATTAGAGGTGCAAATGATATTATAATTAACTGATTGGCTCATTTTTAATCAACAAAAGCTGGATTACAAAAGTGAGAGGGCTGGAATTTTCAATCTAAGTACAGGATGAGTAAAAAAAAACGAAACCCAAATGTCGGGACTATTGTTTTAGTGAAGTTCTGCATGTAGCACTTTCAAAATCTAGGATGTGAAAGCCCAATTCATAAGCTTTCTTTTAGTACAAGAATCATTCAAATCACTCATGTACTTTTCAAGTTACGGAATTTTAATACAACCACCGTGTTAAGGTTCTGTCCACAGATCACAAAAAGGTAAGTTTCTTTCCGCAAAACGAAAAAAAAATCACAAAGGGATGTGTGTGAACTGTTTTCGGTGTGGCACCTTTTGTGTGATCCGTGGACAGAACTTTAAAACGGTGGTTGTGTTTAAAATTCCGTAACTTGAAAAGTACATAAGTGATTTGAATGATTCTTGTACTAAAAGGAAGCTTATTAATTGGGCTTTCATATCCTAGATTTCGAAAGTGCTAGATGCAGAACTTTAATAAAACAATTGTCCTGACATTTGGGTTTCGTTTTTTGTTTACTCACCCTGTAGAATCGTTCTCGAAGCCAAAAGGCAGAGACTCTTTGAAACCTTGACTTTAACTCTTCAAAATCCCTCACCATTTTTACAAATGATAATCATTTATGACTTTGGTTTTATTTGGATCTGATACACCGTGCCCTCTGGAGACATGCACACAATAGGGAACCAAAGATTGTATACGTCTCCACAGGGCAATTTCTATAGATGAATACGTCTCCACAAGGTTTTCACGAAATAGATATACGGATTTTACTCAAAAACTAGGAATTTCCAAGGTATGTTGATTTGTCGCAAATGGTAGAGTTTTAGAAAAGGGATATTAAGTCCGAATTTCAGCCAAGGAAATTAATTCTGGTTAGAATAAGAGCATTTTGAAACTGTACTTTCAAACTCGAAAACTTGAGTACGCGAGAACAAAGAAATGTCTCCACAAGGATACAAATTCAGTATGTGTGTATTAGGTTATGTAGGTATTTCAGTAATATGTGTATTACATGTAGGTATTTCAGTATGTGTGTATTAGGGGAACCAGCCAACCGATCCCGTTAGCTCGGTGGTCGAGTGGTAAGACATCTGCACTAGAAAGCAGGAGGTCGTGGGTTCGAGTCCCACCCGAGTGATTTTTTTCCAACTTTCACTTGGGAGGTAACACACTGAGTATACAGAGTTTAAACGTCGATGAAGGGCAAAACCTAATTTGAATTGTATCACCCAAAAATTCCATCTTATAATTGTGTATTAGGTTGTTTATGATTTTTCCCAATTTTTTGTAATTTCCAAACAGACTGGACATGACAACTGGGTCCGAGGTGTACTCTTCCATCCAGGCGGCAAGTACATCCTGAGTGCGTCTGACGATAAGACCATCAGGGTCTGGGACTACAAGAACAGGCGCTGTCAGAAGACCCTCAATTGCCACACTCACTTCGTCACCTCACTCGGTAAGTGGACCCCGGCCTCCCTCCTCTTACGCTGCTATCATTGCTTATCCAGATTTGCTATTAGATACTTGAAAGTCGTCATTAAATTCATCAGAAGTCATTCATAAGTCAGTATCAAGTCAATCACAGGGCAGTCTCTAGTCATCCACATGTGTCTTCCACATGTCATCCACATGTCAATCACATGTCAATCACATGTCAATCACATGTCAATCACATGTCAATCACATGTCAATCACATGTCAATCACATGTCATCCACATGTCTTCCACGTGTCATCCACATGTCATCCACATATCATCCACATCATGTCATCCACGTCATCCACATGTCGTCCACATGACAAGTCCATTACCATTCCATTCATTTCAAGTCCAGCGAAAAGCCTTTTAAGGGTAGAAAGTGCAAAGGTTGGTCAGGCATGGCCTTTAAAAAGCCAGGCATGGCACAGGGAAAGCCTTGGCCATCAGGCTTCTGTATTCGGCATGTAAAACTTTCATCAATTGTCATGAATTTGTCCTGTTTTTCTGTCCACAGATTTCCACAAGTCTGCCCCGTTCGTCATCAGCGGTAGCGTGGATCTTTCTGTCAAAGTATGGGAATGCCGTTAATGACACACACAGGCAATTTCCTGGATATATATATTATAGGCGTCTATCTCTACTATCAATCTGTAACCTTGGAAGCACAGCAAGAAGGGTAAAAAAATGACTTAAAGAATCTCTTAATACTTGCAGGCATGCTTATACTGTGGGCTTATCTCCTGTCTGGTTAAGAAATGGTATCAGTACTTGCAATGCATTGTGGGCCAGCGGTGGCCGTGTCGGACTTGTGCACAGTCACGTGGGATCTTCCACGTATGGGTTTAAACTCTGTCGATTTTTGACAGCAGATTACTTTTGAAGTTTTTGCCTTTTAGCGGGACTCGAACCAGTAACCAATTATGTCTCGCGCAACTGCACAGTCTAGCCATCAAATACTGCAACTCTATGAGCTGTAGAAAGTACTTGGTTGCCCAAGTAGCCTGGTTGCCCAAATGGGGATTCCAGTTCATTATGCAGTAGGAATTCCTATTTGGGTTCCACGCTGCACCGGGGCACAATGTTGCATCTCTTTTTTTGTATGTACGTCAAGCAGTCATCGTCATTGGTCAAAGCCAAGTCAGCCCGGCTGCCCACGGTGCTGATGCCATTCCTAATCGGGCCGCAAGCCTCATCTGGGCATATTGCCTTACGTGGATAGTCTACTGTCCAGACTGTATGTTTAAATGCTTAATTGACAACAGTGTTGCAACACACAGTAGTATCTTAAGCTCTAAAATTGTCAGATGTAAAAAAAAAAAAAAGACTTGTGTATTTAACTACGCCAAACTGGCTCGCTAGCGGTCAGAATAATGTGAAAATTTAGGAGTATAACCAATGTGCTTTAAAAAACTGTAAACCTTTACAAGTGGGAATTTTTTTTTTCTGCTACATTAGCTAACGAAATGCTCCTCTGTTGAAGCATTTGCCTCGTAAAAAACATCCAGTTGGTTAGAATTTAATATTGCTCAGATTTCATTACCCAAATTTCACTGTAGAGCTTTCTGACTCGCTGCTACCGGTATACACATTTCAGTCATGTGCAGTTTTTTTAAAAACAAAAATTAAAAACATTCATTGATCAAAACATTTTAACCAACTTTTTGTTTGAATCAACGTGTGGAGAGTTTACGACTTCCTTCCATCAAAAATTGCAACTTAAAAATACATCTATTGTAAAAATATTTTCTCCGTGTAATGTAAAGCTAAAGTCTTGAAACACTTTTTTTTTATTTCTCTTTTTTGGGTTCCAGTGAGTGTATACTATCATTATGCAAAAAAGGGTCAGGGGTCAGGGGGCGGAGTCAAGTATTTATCTAATATCTATATACAAATGTACATTCGGCTATGTGTTTGTATGACAACTGCAGATGTATTTTGATCAATGTAATATGCTATAGGACTTTTTCCTCTTTTTTTTTAAAGCGTAACTTTTTACAAGAAAAAAAAAGAGAGCAATTTGACAATGTTCGTAAGCTCATTTCGCCAAAACCTCATCATTATAGACAAATTCTTCAATCTGCATCATCCTAGGGAAAAAACTACAGGTTTATGTAACGTAATGGCGTAGTTACACAAAGCAATTTTTACGTGCAACTTGGAGGCAACCAAATACAATGTTAGCAAAAAGAACCGAAGGACGAGCAAAGTATGTATTTCCAACAGTTTATGGAAATTCTTGAGAACATTACAGCAAATTAAAATGTACTTGTCCTCATTGTACTCATGCTAACAGAAGTAGACTTTCAGAAAAATATTACATTCTACAGAAAATTTACAAAAAAAAGTAAAGAACATTTTTTTTCTAAGACTTGTCTGCCAAAGTTTTGTGTTGCAACTTCGTAAAAATAGTATGGCATATAGGGGCAGGAATTGTGCATTGATGATACAAGCATGGCATTTAAGTAAGATTTGAGGCTTTGCATGGTGGAGATACTAATGAATGAAAGGTTTGCGGAAACACCATGTGGGAATAATTTCTCAACTAAGAGAATGGTTCTGAAAAGAACCAGAGGTATAAACTCGACATTCCGGTCAGTATGCTCTGACCGTCTTGAAGAGCATGGCATTTGGCACACAGTCAGAGTATGTCACTAGAAAGATATTTGGCTATAGGGCCATCGCAGATTTATCCTGTGAAAAAAATACAGATAGAAAATAAAGCAAGCAATGGCAGCAATTTGAAAAAGGCTGCCATTGCTTGTTATTCCACCTATATTTTTTTCGAAGGACAAATCTGCGATGGCCCTATAGCCAAATATCCTTCTAGTGACAAACTCTGATCGTGTCCCAAATGTCACGCTTGTATCATCAAAGGCACTATTATTCCCTGAAACATTTTCCTTATGTGCCCCACTAAAAAAAATACACAGCGTCAAGAATTCTGGTTTATCTGATGACAAACCGACGTTGAAAACTTGCTCTCTCTTTTTGAAAACTTGTCCAGAATAATCTTATTTTTGTAGGGCTGTTCTAACGTGGACTTGCACAAGCTAACGGACTCTTAAAATATCGCGCTTAACGACGTACCAAAAAAAAAATAGCCTTGATGCTGTCACAAGTTTTCAGTGTAAAAAAATATATATTAATGATAATATTAATATTAGCCATATGTCCTGCTGTACGTGTTGTCAATGTATAAATACGAGAGGAAAGTATGCTGTTATTAAAAAGTGGGACAAAAACTTGTACAGAACTTAAAAAAAACCAAAATATCATAATCCATGTGTAGCATGGCCGTGTTGTGTAATAAACTACGTGATGTTTAAAAATTGGTTAGGTTGTAGTGTAATCAGCTGTAGTGCGGTGACATTTATCAGTGATTTTCCTGCTCAAAACTTAACACCAGAAACAAGAGTTAGTGTAGTGGAAGTAAAACGGCAAAAGTCAAGTGGATTTTTCCTTGTAAGGGTGACACAAAGAAAACTTAACACAAATACAATTTTTTTTCTTGTATTATTGTTTTCCTTGTGGAATCAAACTTACATAGTTGTCCGCAGAAAATAAAATAGATTAGAAGTAATAAGCAAATAGCACATCATACAATATGCACAGTAGCATCTGTACAAAAATAAAGTAAAATAACAATACGATTAAAATTAAATACAAGTCGATACAGTTGGCTTCGAAGTGTTTTGCAAGAGTTGTCATTGTGCAAGAATCTATGGCAATCACAAAGCTTAATATATGTGAATGCAGTCATCATATTGTTAAAAAAAACTCTGTATTGACTTATAGTGGCCACATGATCTTTCCAATTCCTTCCTATTTACTGGGAGAAAACAATTAAAGAAGTTTTCTTGGCCCCATGGATAGACCTGGTGTTTTAGTTAACTTGTTCAGACCATCAGACTCGGAGCGTATACAGTAACTTTACCAAAATTCATGAAAACAAATCACTAAATTACCTGCATCGTAATGTTGCCGTTTTATCTGAAGAGGATTTCAAAGAATACATAAAATTTATACCTGGTATCTATCTGGGCATTTCATCTGAGTTTTAAAGAAAAGGCCTTGTTTATGTGCTTGTTTTACAACCTTTGGAGAATTGTTAAAGTGTTGAAATTCATTTAGCACCATGTTTATAATCCAGTGAACTTCACTGTGGGTTATGGTTGAAAATTGTATAGATCGTGAATTTTTCGTTTTATATTCTAACTGGGTAAGTAAAAAAAATACATAAAAAAATACATAAATGTTTAATAAAGAATTGGACATTGGGTTTTCTGAGGTGCATTGTGTACAGTTAGTGTTGATAAAGATTGCCTTTTTTTTTGGAAGCATGAATTTTTACGTGTAGCTTATTTATTTGATGTTTACATAATTCATATTTGAAGTGAATCATTATCTCTATTATGTTGATTGCTTTACCGATTCGATTTGTAACAGAATATGATTTTTTTTTTTGTAATTGTGTATATGTTTCTTAATTATCTCATTTATTATGTAGTGACCTAAGTTATGTGTAGTTATCCCATAGAGCTTAATATAGCTCTATGGGTTATCCAAAGAAAAGTGCATTGTGGGTATCAAGATGCATCATGGGTAATCACCAAGAGCCAACAGAATTTGTTCGTCCTAGTCGCCCAATCCAAGGATGCTTGTTACTGCTAATCACAGAAGGAAACGCAGACTTTGCAAAGCATTGTGGGAACTTGTTCGCCGGGATCAATGTACGTATATTCCGTGTGCATAAGGAAGGGTTACCCTTAGCAACCGGGCAAACAAAATCTGTCCAATGAGAGCTCAAAGGAAATCAGAGGTCACCAGCATCCTTGGAGAAGTTGGTGGGGACGAGGAAACCATGTACATGTACAATATTCATAGCGCTGCAGAAAAGTTAGCAGAAAAGTTGTGATAACTGTAGCCGAAAATTGTACTCAAACAGAACTCAACCCATCAAACCCCAACGGCATGTTTTGTTGGAATCTGTCGGGAATGGTACAGTACCCCTAAACTGACAATCTTTTACATTCGGTAGGCACACCTCCAGAATCAAAAGTCAGAAATATGTATGTGCAGTTTCCCATAAGGTGTTGGAATTTGCCAGGATGGGTATGGTTCCTAGTAAATCATGCTAGGGAGTTGGGGTTAAGCACTTTTTCATGGAGTGAATATGCATGGAGATTTCTGCCTCGTCTATGAAATAGGCGGAGGTTCTGTGAGCATAAAATGGTGTGCTGAGCAGCGCTATGAAATTGTGCCCAGATTACATGTTTATCAGAAGTTGAAGTTGATGCTTAAATGTTGTTTTGTATTAGTTTGAAGACTTTACAAAAGCCGGTCTTTTATATGGAACAACACTGACAAATTACTGACAATTAACCCCCTTTGACAAAAATTCAAGCTTATTTAAAGTATATCTCCCTTCTCCCCATACATAAAGAATCTGATGGTTATTGTCTTAATGCCTAGTTGCATACTGTGTATAAAAAAAACTACTTGTTGGTTGGGACTGAGTACATTAATAATAAAGTTCACTGTGTAAAAAGCTGTGAATGTTATCTGCTGATTAAAAAAACTACACAGTCGTCCAGTTAGTGTGAATTTGTTGTGTATCTGTCTTCTTTTTCGGGTGCAGTGGCTCCTTCTCTAATTTGGATCTGGTTTAAGAGAGTTTAGGCAAATCATAAGACCACAAGTGATTGTGGTGTGGTTGAGTCCACAAGTCCTAAACTAGGGTTTCATGAGTCATCCAGTCCCAAGTCAAGTCACAAGACATTCAAGTGAACTGTGATAAAAGCATTCATTGTTATTGTTCATCGCTTGTTACTTGCAGTGTTGTAGTCGAGTACTTTTTTCCGATACCGAGTACTGCCGAGTACTTAGGTTGCCGAGTACGAGTACTTATACCTCCGAGTACAAGAACAGGTCTCCAAGTACGAATACTTGTACGTACGAGTACTCGCATTTCCGAATACGGCCATACGGCAAATGGTTCAGTGTGCGTAATTGGCCCAGGCCCAGTCAGACCGATATACAGACCCAATCATGGCCAGCTGTTTAATGTTTGTGGGGAATTGCACAGAGGAAAATCAGGAAATCTTGATTTCTCCAGAAGCCAATCAACCATTTCAAACTGAAAGTATCGATAAAATAAGGCCATGGGTATGTGAAGCTAAACATCCCCCCCCCCCCCCCCCCAGTACTGCTATTCGAGTATGAGTACTTTAATGCTCGAGTACAGTTTCGACATGTCGAGTACGAGTACTTTGCTGCCCAAGTATGAGTACCGTCATTTCGAGTACGAGTACATGTACTTTGACATTCGAGTACGAATACGAGTACTCCAAAGTACTCGAGTAAAAATTAGTGTACAAACGCTCACATTTTTAAAAAAAAATTACATAGGAATTAAAAATGGCCCTAGAACGCATTCCAAATTGATTGCTGGACAGATGTGCTATTAAAGGAGAAATTCTGTCGAAAAATTAAGGAACAAATTCAAAAATGGACAACTTTTGCCCAAATCTTCAAATTTCTGCGTGTTAAGAGTATAGATTGATGTTCCTTAAGGTTGCATCCAGATGAATTTCTGCCTTATCTTGAGAAATGTCAATTTTTGGCAAATTTTGACTCAAAATGTAAGGCTAACCCCTTGATTTTTTTTTTACAATTTTGCCAAAAAATGAATTTGCTTGAAAGTTGCTAGAAATATGTTCTAAGGGCCCTAAAACGCATTCCAAATCGATTGCTGAACAGAGGTGCTATTAAAGGAAAAATTTCGACGAAAAATTAGTGTACAAACGCTCACATTTTTAAAAAAAAATTACATAGGAATTAAAAATACAAAAGTTTTTATAAAACTCTGTTATTTAACAAGTTTTGTATAAAACAATTTAGGGTTAAGCCAAAATATTCAGGATAATTAAGAGAAAAGCTTTATTTTCCTAGGTGAATTCCAATTAACTCGCAACGGGATACACACATGTGTAGCGTGTGATGAATACACAAACATAAAATTCACACTATTTTCTTAAGTACAATGTATACAATATGTATCACTCCGCCCAACCTAATGAAGGACTGTTGGGAACAGCGCACTGAATAGAGGCCTCTGATGTGCAGTGTTAGCAAACAAATCCCTGAAAACAAATTATTGTTTCCTTTTTAAAGACGTCTGTACAATGTTGAAATAGGGAAGGATTCCATACTGGGCCGCCACTCATATTCCTTAATATGACCTGAAAAGTATCAAAAGTTGTAAATCTTATGAAGAAACACTATTTAAGGAGTGCAAACATTCTTTGACAATACTTTAAATGTTCTGTCATGGCCAATGTGTTCAGGAGTTG